TATTCACTCCAGTATGGGAACAAAACGGCCTACAATAACAGGAGGTCAAATGAAAGAGTTCTGGGAGTAGCCGCTTCCCCCCATTTCTGCCAATCACGTCTCTAAGAACCAGTAGCCAAATTACACTTAAGCTTCACCAGCGTCAGTGAGAAGCAACATGTTCTTACCTCAGTGAGTTATTGCCATAACAGCCGAGGTCTCCAATTCCCAGGTCATCCACCATTATCAGGACAAAATTAGGCCTGTTGGTCTCCTGCAGAGAAGCACTGTTCACCTCTAAGAGCAGCAGCAACAGAGAGGACAGTGGCCACGTGGACTTCATGCTGTCAGAACAGAAACACTGGAAGAAAAATCAAACCACATGTAATTGTAGTGTAAAGATACACTGACAGGTACCTGTATTACAGCCAGTAGTATTCTGGAGTTTCCCACCAATGACTCTGAAGCCTCCGTCAGTCGCTGTCAGTTACCGATGAATATAATTTAACTGACCATAGTTGACCATAGCTTTGACGCTACAGTAACATTTTCACAAGCATTTCACAAACCTGGTGAAGTCATTAACCAAGGACTGTACTCGTGTCTTCTTCTAGTTCTTTTAATCATGAATAATACAAACTGGTTATGATTCCAGCACACGGTCGAGTGTAAGGTTGACAATGAAGACTGTTACAGGCAGCATTAGCAACACGTTCTCACTCCCAGCTGAGAAAAAGCTACTAACTCCTTTTACTGCTTTACATTATATTTTTATTACTTTTTTACATTTACACGCTTAGTCCCTTAATTTTAGAAACACGGGAAACTTGAACTGTCTGGATCAGTGCTTAGAAACCATGGTGGAAATGGTGTCCCCACACTTAAAGCAGGTAACAAAATCAGTAATGAGCAGTCAGACTCCAAGACTGCGGCCACTGTTCCTACTGTGGTGACGGCTGTGAAGAGTAAGATGAACATTCCTAACACCAGGGGCGGAGCGTGGGGGTGGCTTACTGGGCTTAAGCCCGGGTTGTTTTGTCAGAAGCCCGGGGTCTTTTTGAGTGTAATTTTTTCATAGTTAGATGCCTGGCTGACAACTGTATAAAACAAAAACTACACACAATATTCGAAGCACATAGTGCACACTGTGGGAATTTACAACTGTGCATAAATCCCCCCTAATATTGGTATGATCCGAGCTCAGACACTAAGCGAGTGCGCTGTTGGAGAAACGCAGCCAGGCAGACAGAGGAGAGCTGCAGTTTGACCAGGTACCAAAGCAAATCATTCGTACCATACAAATAATGTAAATATGACGGTGAATCACGAAAGATTGATATCAAACTGATCACTTGACCCATTTTACGTTACTCGCTCTTCAAGTGAATCAACAAATGGCGAAATGAAAAGCCGAACAACAACAATGCTGTTTCTTTAGAGAGTCTTAGCTTACGTGTGTGTTTATTTCATATTTTCAGTCGTTACCCTCCACGGCTAAATAAACCGGTTTCAGTAATGCACTGATATACAAGAATGGACATAAGGAGCTTCTTTCAAAGAAAAAACTCAGGTAGTATTTTATATATTATGCTTTGTATGTTGTTCAGTATATTTCTATGCAAAACAAGAGGAGTTTCAATACACAGCAGGATATTCACATTTGTAACCAGATATTTACATACACTTCAGGGAGAAAACCTAAAACATTTTTACTGTACAACATCAATTTAGAGTAAACTTTTTGTTTTAGATAAATATTGAAATATATTTTGAATTAGTTAAATGTCAGAATAAAGAGACAGAGCTTCTATTTTTATCACTTTGATCAAATGTAGGAGTACATATACACTAAGTTTATTGTTAATTAATAAGAAACTCCAGACGATTCCATTCTGAGCTGCAGAAGCTTCTGATTGGTTAGTAGAGTCCATGTGAGTAAATTGGTGGCACAGCTGTGGATGCATATAAGGCAAAACACAGAGCCTGTTTCTGTGACATGGGAACATCAA